GTGGATTTCCAAAAGTCCTACTAGAAGTAAATTGCAGCTTACCTTGGGGGAGGGGTGGTTAATGCATTAAATATTTAAAAGATTACTGAAATCCAGTAGTTTTGAAGAATTAATCATCTACATATTAATCATAATGTAGAAATAGGAAAAGGCAGTTTGGCACTTCTGGCCCCTGCTGAAAAGTAACTAACTTACATGTGTATAGAATTGTAATTTACCGGTGAGTGGCCATTCAATCCAGCAGTAGTAATTTCTGTTTTCAGCTACAGTCCTTGATAAGTACCAGTCAGGCTCTTTCCTGTTTCGAGAATGTTTTTGTAAAGCTCACTAGGCTTTTAGAAGGGAAAATCTAGGTATGCGTCTCACTGCTTAAACAGATTGCTCTTTGCAGGAGGCTAGTCTTAAATTCATTTGCGGACTGTATGCTATTTTCCAGTCTCACGGACATAAAAACAGCCATAAAATAAAAGCTTAGGAAGGATACATGTGAGTAGGAGCCTGAAGCTTACGTGTGTGTGTGTGCACGTGCCTGCATGTGTTTAGTCTCCTAGAACATTGTGACAGGTCCAAACCACAAGACGCCTTCCCCTACTGATGAGTTAGTTTGACTCTGTTTTATATTCACCTGCCTCACTGTTGGAGGCAGGCCAGAGGGGTCCGGCAGCCAGGGTAGAAGGACACATGTAAATTCATTGCCTACTAAGGGACTAGGGCTGGGTGTGGGAATTGGTGGGGGCAGCAGTTGCTCAACAGCCTAGTGGGCTGTTTCATTCATGGTGGACGAGTGGTATCATTTCCACTTACAGTTGTCACTATATTTTATGATTATACTGCGAACATTTTTCTCTCTATAAAGCCAGGTTAGTTGTAAAACCTACCCTTTCGCACTAGGTAATGTCTCATTTCTTCCAACTTTGTACAAAGTCTCCATTAAAAATCATTTATTATTTTAAGAATTGAAACATTTGCAAAATCTCATTGACTCTTGGAAGTCTGCATACCCCGGTTCCCATGGGGACTGTACCTGCAAGTGACGTTCAAGGACACACGTGCCACATCAAATTGAAAACACTTCTTAGTGCTGGGGAAGAGCTCAGGAATTCAGAGTAGGATTCCTTTTACTTTAAGGTCTTGCCATCCCCCTTCCACATCTGCTTTTGTTTTGGGTCCGAGTATAAAAGGGAGAAGACTGGAGGCCCATGCCTCTGCAGGGGTTCAGCTCCAGTATTCCTGAAGTTAAATAAGAGTTAAACACCTATATCCATTAAACACTAGGTTTGAGCATTTAGGAAGCTAATCTCAAATGTATTTATGTCTTAAATGTGTACTTCATGGATAGGAAAAAAAACTCCTTTATTATGATTATTTGATCTTGGGCTGTTTGCTTCTCTGTGACTGGTCACAGCTGTGACTGGGACACAGCTAGTCGCTGTTGCAGTCAGGATTTACAAAGCAGCAGGAGAAAAGCATCTTAGCCTTAGAGCAGATGGGCCATGGTTTAATCCTGACTCAGTGACTTAACTAGCGGGGGGACTTTAACCTCTGTTTTTAGGTTTAGCCTCTGTTTCCTGATCTGTCAGGTGATGACTCTTCTCCCGTGCTATCATGACTAACACAGGTAACCTACCTAACGCACCTCGCACAGCATCTGACAAAGTTGGAGATGTTACTAGATAATGGAATTCTTGACCCCACCCCTGCCTCATCGATTTGTAGGCCGTGGTGACTTTTGGCCTCCTTTGATTAGGCTTTCATTTCCCCAGTAAATGGTTTAAGCATAATTTTCAAAACAGCCATTTTGGTGACTTTCACATTTTGATACAAATCAAAATTCTCCATGAGACCTCTCACGCTAGAGCATGAAGAATGCCATCTTTGTCATTTGAGGGATATTCCAGTGCAGTTAACAGAAGAGGAGAACTAGTGATTGGCTCGGTGTGGTAGAGGTGGGCTCAGTTACAGTCCTCTGTGTCCCAGAGGGGCTGTCCTGTGATCTCCATTCCACAGACCTCAAGGACGGCTCCTTTGTGACATCTTATCTGGACAAGTTAAAGACCATGAAGCTTTTGCTTTGCTGCTGCATTTCTCCTATAAAAGCTTTAAGGCCATCCAGGCCATCCTTGAAAGCAATGTACATCTTCTGCAGAAGTCATTTGAATTTCAGCTTTCACTTTGCTTTTTTAAAAGCCACTCTTAGAAAGGTGTTTCATTGTCCTCCTAGGATACTTCATAAAATATTAATCCTCTCCATCTTTCATCTAGAAGATGAAGGAAGAGATCCCTTTTTCCTTAGCTTTACCTCTTTCAGTAATACTTTTGTTAAATTTCATGGAGATGGTCAGAAGCTATTAGTTTTATTTGGGTAAGGAATCTTTCTAAATGAAATCTGTCATTTGAGACATAGCTTTTCATTTTTCCTGCCAAAAGGTAGTTTCAGCTGTGTGTGAGTGTGTTGCCATTGTAAGTACTAACCCGATTCTCTGGAAGGTAGAAGAAACAAACTAGATTTGAAAAGATTTTCATAAATATATTATAATGGACTATGTTTATTGATCATCTGATTAAAGAAATAGGAAATAACAAATCATCTTCAATTCAGAAATAGAATTACCAAATGGAATTACCAAGTAGAATTATGGAAGTACACTGTATCCACTGTTTATTTCTTAAACAACAAGATCTTGCATGTTCGAGGCATGGATCTTTTCTTTCCTTCCTTCTCCACATCTCTGTAGAAGCTGGAGAGAGGGATCTAGGATTCTGAACTGTGTAGGCCAAATATTTGTCATAAGGAAAAGCACTGGACTAGGGAGAAGGAGATCTAAATGTCCACTCTAATCTTACTGCCAGTTAACATTTGACCTGGGCAAGGAATCTTACCTCTTGGGCCTCGGTTTTCCTTGCATGAAAAACGCTGATGTAGATGCTTTCTCAGACCTGCTCAGCTCTTCAATCCCATTCACTTTTATTCCAAATACCTATCACACAGATGACCATGATTTTAAGTAAACTTAATACCTGAAATTTCCTACATTTCCCCAGTCTACACATCTAACGCAGGTTAACCTTAATTAAATCCCCCCAGCCTTCAAGGGAAAGATTTCTATAATTTTGGTGTTTTTGTTTCTGTTTCCCCAGAGTAGATTTGCTAAGCATCCAGTACATCTCCAGCAGTGGCCTGGGCAATATTAGTAGATAAAAAAATAGAACTTTTCTTTAATAGAGTCGATAGTTGAGGTGGAAACACCTTAAATATGAAGCAAAAATGGACTACTTAGAACAGATGTATTATAAAAAGTAAAAGCAGGGAGGCATCTGGCTGGCTCAGTTGGAAGAGCATGCGACTCTTGATCTTGGGGTCGTGAGTTCAAGCCCCGTGTTGGGGGTAGAGATTACGTAAAAAAAATAACGATTCTTATACATATCACTTGCTTTTACTTTTTGTTAAGTACTTCTTACTGCTATGACTATGCTCATTTAATCCTTTCTCCAATCCTATAAGGTAAATGATGTCACCTCAATTTTATAGCAAAAACTAAGGCACCAAGAAAAGCTAAGTGAATTGTCAGCAGTTACTCTTCCATTCAAAGGATTTAGAGAGGGTACTGGTCATGGAATCCTTGGGGTCCCCTCTTGGGTAAGTGGGTTAAGTATTGAGGGAAAAAGTAGGAGGGTGGTCTGGGGTGGGAGAAATGGCTTTGGGCTTTCTAAGTAGACTTGATTTTGATTAAGAGGCAAAAACAAAAATTATTTTCTTAATTTGTCAGTTGGCATTTGTCAATGTCGCTTACTGTAAATTTATTTTTTGTTTCACATACAGCATACATTTCAGGCAGCCTGGAAGTGCAGAGTCTTAAGTGAGATAGCTCATTTCAGGAGAAAACAATAATCACATGATTGTATGCTTTGGAGAAAACAATCCAAAAAAGAGCTAAAAGTGGGTCAAGTGTTGAGGATTGCTCAGCACCGCGGGCAGTGACTGGCCCAGAGCAGTGGGAATTGCAGGGGGAGTTGCCTGGATGTGGTGAGGCGGATTTTTTTTTTTTTTTTTCCCCCCCTCGATGGATTGTAGTTTCTCTGCTTTCAACTTGACTTGCAGAAGGGGTATTCCAAACTCTCGTCTTTGGGAGAATAGGCCCGGTTCTCCCCCTGCCTGCTCTCCGGTGCACGGCAGCGCCAGTCTTCATGCCAGGTGGGCCCCCCGCCCCGTGTTTACACAGACTCTGGGGGTGCAGGGACGTCTGGAAGGCTGGGCTGTGTCACTGAGTGCGGAGTGAGCCGTGGGGGTCCAGCGATGCCTTCCTTTCCTCATCCAGGGACTCGCAAAGTGTCCCGATTGAAAACCCCAAAGCTCCCCCAAAGAAGAAAAAGCCTTCTTGCCTTGAGCCCCTGTCCCCGCCCCGGGGAGTGCCCTGCCGCCTGTGCAGGCAGAGCTGTCTGTCCTCCCGCGCTGCCGCCGGGGTAGAGAGGAAAGGAAGAAGGAGCTGCGCCGCGCGCTGGCCGCCTCCCGCCGGCCAGGGTCCCTGGGCTCCAGCCCTCCGCGGTGAGTTCCCGGCCCGGAGCCCGCAGCCGCCGGCGCTGCCGGGCAGACGCCGAGCCGCGCCCACGCCTCCTGGAGGAGGACGGGGCAGGGTTGTCAGGGCAACTGTTAGCAGCGGCATATCGCGGTGTGCCCTCTGTGCCGTGTGCGGAATAACTTACTGTGCGGCGGCAGGGGAGAAGCCTGGGGAGAGGTGCCGCCGCGGGAAGAGCTGCGATCTGACTGAACAGGTTAGGCCGTGGAAGGAGGCAGCTGACCCCGCGTGCCTTTCCTGGGGCTTTTCCGGAAGGAGAGTGCGCGTGCGTGTGTGTGGAGCGTGTGTGCAAGCAGCGAGCTCCAGCCAGCCACATGCCTGGGGGG